TTTAGTTCGTATTTGTTTTTTTTTTTTTATTTTTTATTTTTTTTTTTTTGTTTTTCCCGGCCTTTACCCATTAAATGGCAGTTCTTTCCCCTTTTAATATGGGATTGTTGGAATTTTCCCCCAATTTTTCTTTTTACATCCACATAACCGTCGGAGCCCCCCCCCCCCCCCAACCCACCCACACAAACCTCCTTGACCTAACCATATGAATATTAGTTTCGTCACTGTCTGATGTCTTGTCAAGTTTCTGTAAATTTTGATGGGTTCGTTAGTTGGAATACAAAAAAAAAATGCGAAAGGAATTTGGTTCGATTTTCAGCAACTATTTGTGGGGAAAAGCGTTAGGTGACGGCACATCAAGAAGACAAAAAACGACTTCTGACAGAATTTTTGGAAATGCATCTATATGAAAGGAAAGAGAAATCGTCTTTTATTTAAACAGAACTTTAACTGAAATATTTCGTGGCTGTCATCTCTTCCGATGTTTGATGCTTTTTCGTGATATTTCTTAAAGTGGGTATGGAAAGGGCTACTATGATAATTTTTTTTTTTTTCATTTTTTATTTTTTTTTAATTTTTTTTAACAGGGAAGCAAACGAAAGGGATACCATTTCGGCAAAACTACAATGGAGCCTCCACGTGATGAAATATTGTTCCAGCAAATTGGTGCAGCAAAAAATATGAACCCTCATCCTATTTACAACAAGAAGGGAAAGAAAGCATTAGGAGGGCATCAGAATCTGTTTGACGAATTTCGCCGGGTCGGAACAAAAAAAAGAACTTTCAGAACAGAGAACAAAGCACACACTCTGTCCGGCTCATGTCCCGAAGGTAGCATCACTGAAATTTCGATTACGTTTCTTGACACGCCCACCTTGACAGTGTGACGTCACATATGAAACGGTTAAGATCTTCGCGTGTATTTAAAAGGCTGAACCAGCGATTATTTTGGAAACACCCCCACCTTTCTGTATATGGCCCTTTCGTTGTAAAGCTTCTTTTGAAAAGCTGTAGACGATAACAAATATACAAATAAAGAGCGCTACCATTGCTTATTGGCAATCGTTTATTTGAACGTATCAAAAGCTGAAAAAACAAAAGGTGTTAACGACAGAGATATAAGGAGATCAAGATTTGAAATCCAGTTTACAGATTTTTTAAAGGAACTCGATTTCACCTGAAATTCTTTCCCGACGCAGATATCAAAACGCAAATTCAAACTTAAAACCAAACTGCGCTTGAAATTGAAACTCAAATCCTGGTTTTTGAAAAATGAAACACCGTAGGTATGTATAAAAGTAGCGGGAACGAATTTGCAATAGCTTGCAATACCTTCAGTCTCGTTAACAAAAGTTTTAATAATATGTATCTTGAATAATAGACATACGATGATACACTTGAATATGAGGTTTGTTTGTTTGTTTGTTTTTTTCTCTCTCTCTGTACTAAGATGACTTAGATCAGAATAAGGCTTGAATCACAATCCAAAGGACTGCAACAAAAAGAGCGCGGGACGCAGTCACGTCAGCTACAGATACTGGCGGAGTAGGACACGTCTTTTGAGGAGGCAGTGGTTCTGTGATTTTCGCAACAGGAACCCTGAACTTTGGATTCTCTATGTCCTGTAAAACAAGACGAGGTAATTTACTATAAATTTTTTTGAGGAATTATCTAATACCGGAAATGATAGAATTAATCCCGAGCTTCAAATAAGCGCCTCCCTGTAGCCTTGAAGTATTTGATAAGCAACCAACCACAATCAGGGTATATACAATAGGAAAAACATAACATGCACAGGCACTAGAAATATGACCCAATGAAGACATCCCACGATCGCGAGGGAATGTTAAAAAAGACCAGAGACCTGTTATTATTATGGCAAGTAATTCATGGCAGTCTACATATAGACTCCCTGACATTACTTACCCCTCCTCCCTCCATAGCCTGAGAAAGTCAGCCGTCATTTCGCAACGCCATCAAACGGTTTCCCCGCGAAATGATGTCTGAGAAACCACTTCAGAAAAAGCCCATGCCAATGACGTGTCAGTAGTGCTTCTGATCGGTTGAAGCAAATTGTCATTCAATCAGAAGCACTACCCAGATAAGGGTAGTGACACATC